GCCTGGCCTGGAACCTCCCTGGAGCTGCGCACCACCCCACGCCCGGAGTCATTCATCCCTTGTCCTAGGGTTCGGTGCTGGCGGCCAGGCTGGGTCTGTGCGCTAGCCCTAGATTGACCTGGACAAAATCCTGTCCCTCCCAGCGCCCGTTCCAGAAGGGAAGCGGGGGAGGGGGGGCAGGGGGCAAAGGACCAGTGGACCCGGGGGAAGTCCGGAGGCCGCTCCGAGGAGCTGACGCCTCTGCTGCAGCCTGGCGGTCTGGAAGAGGAGCGTTCAGGTGGAGGGCACTGCAAGTGCAAAGGCGGGGCCGTGGGACCAAGCCAGGCCCGGCTGGGGAGGAATGATAATAACACAGCAATTCCTTAAGCTTCTGAGCACTTGCTGGGCGCTGGTCCTGGAGTTGGAGTTGGAGGAGGGTAAATGATTTAAATCTGCCTCAGCTCTCACAGCACACACTGCAGGCCTCTGTAGCCAGAATGAGTGAGGTGGCTAGAGGAGGGAGCAAGGAGAGCTCAGGCTTTGTCCTGCGGGCACTAGGGAGCCACAGCAGAGTTTAGAGCAGGAGAGGGACCAACCTGATTTATTTTTGTGATGGCCCCTCTGGCTGCCAGGTGGGGAGTGAATTAACAAGGGCAAAGCGGAGAGGCTTGGAGGCCTGGCAGAGGCTGAACTGTGACCCCCCTCAGGCTGAATAAGATTGAGAGGCAGGTGGATTGTGGATGGATCTTGAAGGGAGACCTGACAGGATTGCTACCGAAGGGTTGTGGGATGACAGGCATTGGGGTCTCCCCATTTCCAGATTGAGCCACTGGAAGGGACATGTTAACATGATGGGGTTGGAGGGGGCAACAAAGGGTGACATTGGGTGGGCAGCTGGCCGTCCAGGTTTAGGGTGAGGCCCGGGCTGAGCTAGGGGAAGTCTGGACAAGATCATGTGAGAAGCAGGCACAGGCAGAAGACAGAGGCAACCAGTTCGCCTGCCTTCCCCTTGATTCCTTGCAGGCTATCTTGAGTCCTTCGTGCTGCATGTGTCTCGGTGTGAATCCCACAGACTAGGAAAGAGACAGGACCTGTCACTGCCAACATGTAGACTGCGGCCATGACTTCCCAGGTTCTTATAGAACTCTAGTCCCCTGGCCCCAAACACACTTACTTACTGGGGTCTGGCTGCGGGGAGGGCGGGGTAGGGAAGAGAGATTCTTCTAAAACCCTTCTAAACTATTTTCCTTTAAGTAAAATAGTTCTACTCAGCAGGTGCTTAATAAACGGATGTGTGTGCAAAGGGAAATAGCTTTGGATGGGCCCTAGAGAAGCATCAGGATCACCCCAGAGGGGACAGGGACACTGCCACCTCTTTGTTTACAGGCCTTTTCATCTCCCCTTTTTACAATAAATGTGCATTCATTTAGCATTAAAATAATGAGATAAATTAGCAAACTTAAAAAAAAAAAAAAAAGACCCAGAGAAACATCAGGGGCCCTGGGCTTGAGTCCCAGCTCAGAGCCTCATGTGCTGTGTGACCCTGGGTCTGTTTCTTAACCTCTCTGAGCCTCATTTCTCCATCTCCTACGGCAGCTGGGAGGGTTAACAGTGAATACACAGGAAGGGCTTGGAACAGGGTCCAGCACACAGTAGCGCAGGGTTTGGCACACTATTCCTATAAAGGGCCAGATAATAAATGTTTTCAGCATTGCAGCCGCAGGTCTTCCATTGCAACATGAAAGCAGCCAGAGGCAATATTTAGTACATGTATTGCTCAGCAAAAGGAAGCTGTGAGTAATCCCATCGCTGCCCCTCTGTCTCTGTGTTCATTCAGTCCAAAAGATTTATTGAGTACCTACTGTGCACCCAGCAGTGTTAGGTGCCAGATATGCAGGAATCTTATCCTCAGATAAATGGCATTTTTTGGTCTACTAAGTAAATGATTCAAGGTTTTAGGGATGCTGGATGCATTTTGTTTAAAAATAGGAAGAAGAGTGCTGGCTTTGGCAACACATATACTAAAATTGGAAGGATACAGAGAAAATTAGCATGGCCCCTGTGCAAGGATGACAAGTAAATTCATGAAGTATTTTTTTAAAAAAGAGCCCGTCAGAAGTAAATGATTCAAGGTTTTAGGGATGCTGGATGCATTTTGTTTAAAAATAGGAAGAAGAGTGCTGGCTTTGGCAACACATATACTAAAATTGGAAGGATACAGAGAAAATTAGCATGGCCTCTGTGCAAGGATGACAAGTAAATTCATGAAGTATTTTTTTAAAAAAGAAGCCCGTCAGGTGTGGCTCCGTGGTTGAGCATTGACCTATGAACCAGGAGGTCAAGATTAGGGCACATGCCTGCGTTGCCCAGTAGGGGGCGTGCAAGAAACAGCAGATCATTGAGGTTTCTAGCTCTCTCTCCCTTCCTCTCTGAAATCAATACAAATATTTTTTTAAAAGAAAGAAAATAGGAGGATGGAGAGGGACTGTTGGCAGCATCTCCCCTCCCACAAAACATATACACCTTTCTCAGCCTTAAACTTTCCAGGGCTCCCGCCTCCCTTACATCAAAAGTCAAATTCCTTCCCACAACTCTCAAGGCCCTGCCTGGGAGCCCCAAGACCCCAGCATCCACACCCCAGACTCAGGCATGCAGGCAGTTGCTTCCTAGAGATAGTGACACATGAGCTGGGGAAATCAAGTCAGGCAGAGATGGTGGGGAGAAGCATCCCAAGTAGCAGGGACAGCCCCCCAAAAGATGGGACAAGGCAGGGTGTGTCCTGAACTAGCGCACTGGGCTTGAGTTGACCTTTCACCCTGCAGAGAGGGGGCCACATCACCCAGTCCTCAATCCTCTCTGCTCAGTGTGCTGCAGCTCCCATCCCTCTGGGGCCACGCCCCCTTCCTGTACCACTTGCAACCATGATCGCCATGATGATGCCTCTTCTCCTTCCGCCTCCTTAGCCACCTCTGCCCAGCACCCCTGCCCCTGCTTTGTTTTTTTTTTTTTTAAATATATTTTATTGATTTTTTACAGAGAGGAGGGGAGAGGGATAGAAAGTTAGAAACATCAGTGAGAGAGAAACATCGATCAGCTGCCTCTTGCACGCCCCCTACTGGGGATGTGCCCGCAACCAAGGTACATGCCCTTGACCGGAATCGAACCTGGGACCCTTCAGTCTGCAGGCCGATGCTCTATCCACTGAGCCAAACCGGTTAGGGCCCTGCTTTGAACCCACCTCACAGCTTGGCTGCTCCGGGACATCCTCTGGGGCCCTTGGACTCCAGGGGAAGTTTCTCTCTGGGCTCTGTGCAGGCCCCCAAAGCCCACTCCTCCTCTATCCCTGAGTCAGAGATCCCTTTCCCTCCCTCTAGCCCTGACTTCAGCTCAGGCCGGTGTCTCCCACCCAGAAGGTGCCAAGGAGGTGTAAGCTAAACATGAGAGGGACTGTATCCCAGAAAAAAAGGGGCTCGAGCGTCCCCACCCCAGCTGTATAACCCCAAACCTCGGGCCCCGCTAGGTCAGGCCCTTTACAGAGCAGCATGCCAGAGCCTCGACTCCTGCTGTCTTCCTGGCCTGGTCCATGGCCCTGGGATCCCCGGCCTTCACAGGTAAGGGGAATGGGGACCTGATGGGGCTACCCAGCTCTGGCTGGTTCAGCATTGGTCCAGCTACAGATCAGCAGAACCCAAACTCACTCCCCAGGAGGGCTTGTGTCCTCTGCACCTGGGAATTCTCAGAAAAGAAATTAATATGACCATGAGTCAATCTCCTCAACATATAAAGAGCTCTAACAAATTAATAATAAAAGTAGGGCCCTAGCTGGTTTGGCTCAGTGGATAGAGCATCGGCCTGCAGACTGAAGGGTCCC